TTTTTTGAGACAGAGTTTTGCTTTTGTTACCCAGGCTAGAGTGCAATGGCATGATCTTGGCTCACTGCAATCTCGGCCTCCAGGGTTCAAGCAATTTTCCTGCCTCAGCCTCCTGAGTAACTGGGATTATAGGCACCCAACACCACGCTGGCTAGTTTTTGTCTTTTTAGTAGAAACAGGGTTTTGCCATGTTGGCCAGGCTGGTCTCGAACTCCTGACTTCAGGTGATCTGCCCGCCTGGGCCTCCCAAAGTGCTGGGATTACAGGCGTGAGCTGCAGCGCCCAGCCTCTTCAACTTATTTTCTGAAAGTCTCTGCCAGAACTTTAAGACATAAAAAGAACCCCATTTTAACAATCTGTTTATAAACCCTGGGTTTTGACAAAGTCTAATCAGGAAGGAGAGACTCCCTGGTCTGGAGGGCCATATCGGGGAAGCAGGGACCATAAATGCTGGGTGGCAGGACAGGCACATGGAGAGGGACTCTCCAGCCACCAGACACACAGGATGGATACTCAGCAGGGCAGGGCAATCTGAGAACTCACTCCCTCTTTCACAACAGGCAGAACCCAGCAACTGGCTGATGAAAATTCAGAAGTACAATAGAAATCCCAACTGCTGTAAGCCTCTTAGGGGCTTCTTCCAAAAAAGCTATGGAGAGATCTACCCAAGAAACTGTTCATGATGCTTTAAGGAAGACTTTATCAGAACTGCTCCACTTTTAGCCTGATTGTAACTTAGGGAATACTTTTATACCAGCTCTAAACATACACAGGCCACCTCCCTGCTGCCATTTGGAGACACGCGGAACCCCACTTCCTGACTCTCCCCCAGAGATCTGTTGCACGGCAAGTAAAAAGATTCTTACATGCTTTAGGACACATACCCCTCGTCGACCGTAGTTCATCAGGGTCTCTTGTGCTAGCTTTTTAGTTCTCACACCTAGGGTGAGGAGACAGCCAATGTGTGAATGTTTGTGATAAACAGAGTCTACCGTAAGTTAAATTTCCTGACATTCCCAAACCTCGTTTTAAATCACTAGATCCAAACCTTCACATACACAACCCCTATCTCTACCACCAGCATGAGGGGCAAATGCCTCTTGCATTTCTCCCTCCTGTTATTTCTGCATCCTACCTTTTGTATTGTTAGGAGAGATGAAATGACGCAACAATGTGGGTGCCAGGAGGAAGGAAGCAGAAATGCAAAAGGTGTGAAAATATCACATGAAGACCATGATTAAAATAAAGGCAGAAAATGGATATAAAATGGTAGTTTAGGATGAGACTTACAGGATTTTCCATAATTTGGTGGTGTTGGAAAAAAATCACCAAAACCCCAAATTTGATGTGCCTAGAAAAGGAGAGGTAGATATAAATACCAACCACTTTCATAATAATTGAAATCTAATAAAATTCATTTTCCCAACATTGTTCCTCTCCACCCCTGCATTCAGAAAGCACTGATACTGTTGTCAAAAGCCACCACCATGAGTACAGTGTAGTTTCAGCCATTTGGGAGGCTGAGGCAGGGGATTCTTAAGCCCAGGAGTTCAAGGTCAGCCAAGGCATCATAGCAAGACCCTGTTTCAAAAAAAAAAAAAAAAAGAAAAAAGCCACCACTGTAATAACAGTAAAATTTAGGCAAAAGAGTATAATCCTAATATGAAAAACCTTAGACAAATCAATAAGAAAAAGCTAAACACCCTAGTAGGAAAATGGACAAAGGAAATATACTATCATTAGCATTCAAATATAATTATTCATGAATTTGTATCTGCAAGTTTACCTACTTGTTAAAATTTGTCAACTAATTAAGCTCCATTCTGGCATTAGTTATAGTGCTGTTAGCCATGAGTTCAATGTTAATAAATTAACAACATGAATTAAGTGTCTTTAAACAGAAACATATATAAAAACGAAATTATATATTGATCAGTTGGCAAAAATGTCATGACTGGAGGCTCCCAGGAACCTAACCTTATATTTCCTTTAGGAACAATGGTTCAGTATTACTTAATTCAGTATTCATGGTGATTTTACAAAATATAACTACACTTAGTGTGAATCAATTACAATTCATGAAAGAACTATGAATGATGAATAAACATAGAAGATGCTTGATCTCACTAATAATCAAATAAATGAAATTAAAAGAAAACTGAACTATCTTCATCTATCAAGTTAGAAAACATCAAGATTATATTTTAAAGCAAGTGTTAGAGAGGATATAGGAAAATAGGCACTCTCACACACTACTGGGGCATGAGGGCAATTTTTGGGAAGGCAATTTTGCCATGTGTAAAATAAGTGTACTTTTGACCCAAGAATTCTTCTATGGGAACATATTCTGAAAAGATCGTTTCACAGCTGCAAAACATGTATTCAAATTTTGTTGATCACAGCATTGGTTACAATAGTTATAAATTAGAAAATCTTAAATGCCTCCTGATATGGCATGCATATATATATATATATATATATATATATATACACACACACACACACACACATATGTATATAAATATGTGTGTGTGTGTGTATATATATATATATATATATATATGTATGTATTTTTTTTTCTTTGAGATGGAGGTTTGCTCTTGTTACCCAGGCTGGAGTGCAGTGGCATGATCTCAGCTCACTGCAACCTCCACCTGCTGAATTCAAGCAACTCTCCTGCCTCAGCCTTTCAAGTACCTGGGATTACAGGCATGCATCACCATTCCCAGTTAATTTTGTATTTTTTATTTTTAGTAGAGATGGGGTTTCACTATGTTGGTCAGGCTGGTCTTGAACTCCTGACCTCAGGTGATCCACCCGCCTCAGCCTCCCAAAGTGCTGGGATTACAGGCATGAGCCACTGTGCCCAGCCCATGGCATATTTTAAAATTGTAATGGAGTCAGTCAATGAAATATTATGTATCCATTAAAAATGATAACAAATAATTATGTTAATTAACACTGAAGGAAATCCATGAAAATATTGAGTGATAAAAGCAGGTTACAGAGGACAGTGTTCAGTATGATCTCATCAATATACTGTGTGTGTGCATGTATCCTTAGGTATACATGAGTATAGAGAGATATTTATAAAGATGTTCACTGAAATGAAAATGGTGATTGTCCCTGGGGGAAGGGAAAGGATTTCAGATAATCTTTACTTTATTACTCTGTATTATTTGAATGTCTGCAATTAGAGAAAAGTTATTTTTAACTGCCAGTACATTACATATCATTTTTCCTCTGCATGGGAAAGAGGAAAAGTTGGTGATGATGATAAAAACACAGTATCATCAGTCTGTCACAATTTGTAACCTTGGTTATTGTTGTATGCCTATCACCTAATAGAAAGCTACACACAAAATAAGCAATCAGGAATAAATGGTGAGTATTGTTTTTTAAAATTTTAACCCCCTTTTTAAATAAATAATATGCAGTATACATCATTTAAGCTCTCTACAGTTAAGTAATCACTGAGAAATGTTGGACTTACCACTCCATGCTTGACATCAAATGATTTTTTAAAGGGCCTGGTTATATCAGGGAATAGTCCTGCATGCACATGAAGAGGAAAGTTCATGATTAAATGTACTGTTAGAATAAAATTTCTTACACTTCCAATTAGGCTATTACCACAAATTGTACACACATCATTTGTTTCCCTTTAGCATCTGATCAAAAATTATAGCTAGCTAAGAGGAATAAGTTTTAGTGTTCTATAACACTGTAGGGGGAATACAGTTAACAGTAATTTATGGCCAGGCACCATGATTCATGGCTGTAATCCCAGCACTTTGGCGGGTCAAGGCAAGAGGATCCATTGAGGCCAGGAGTTTGAGACCAGCCTATGCAACATAGGGAGACCCTTGTCTCTACAAATCATAATTTTTAAAAATTAGCTGGGTGTGATGGTGGCACATGTGGTTCCAGGTACTAGGGAGGCTAAGGCAGGAGGATTGCATGAGCCAGGGAAGTTGAGGATGCACTGAGCCATGATTGCACACTGTACTCTAGCCTAGGCAACAGAGCAAGCATCTGTCTCAAAAAAAATTTATTGTGTATTTTCTTTTTTATTTGAAATGTCTCTGGAACATTGTATATTTTCAAATAGATACAAGAAAGGATTTTTAATGTTCCCAACACAAATAAGTCATAAATATTTGAGGTGATGGATATGCCATATGACTCACTCATTACACAGTATATACATGTGCTAAAATATCACACTGTTCTCCAGAAATATATACAATTATTATGTGTCAATTAAGAATAATATCTCTTTTTAAAAGTAAACATCAAACAGGTAAGATCAAACTGAACTAGTTAAATTCATAGTAATTCTTCTGGAGCTTTTGGGAGAGGTAAACATTTTTGTGTCTGAAATATTATGCTATGATACAAACTTACACTCTTAGAATTAGAGAGAAGTAAGACTGCTGAAATTTCAAGGCTGTAAATTTTTATTAAGGTCTTGAGAAGCTCAAGTGTATTTTTTAACAATTTTATTGAGGTATAACTTAACAACCATAAAATCGATGCAATTAAGTATACAGTTCAATGAATTAAGTAAACTAACCAGGTTATGCAACCATCACCATAATCTGGTTTTAGAGTATTTTCACCAACCCAGTAAGATTCCTTTTGCTCATTTATAGTTAATACCCTTTCTTAATACCAGCACCAGAAAACCACTCATCTACTTTCTCTATAGATTCGCCTTTACTGGATGTGTCATACAAATGGAATCGTACACTGTGCGATCTTTTATGTCTGACTTCTTTAAGTTAATACGGTGTTTTGAGGGTCATCCATGCTGTAGCTGTTTTAGTATTTTGTTCTTTTTTTTAATTGCCGAATAGTATTCCATTGTACGAATATACTAGATTTTGTTACTCAATCACCAGGTGACAGGCATTAGGGTTGTTTCCAATTTTGGCTGCTATGGATAATGCTGTAATGAGCATTCACCTGCAAGTCTGTGTAGACATACGTTTTCATTTCTAGTGGGTAAAAACCTATATGTAGAATCACTGGATCCTGCTATTAATTTTTCTTTAACTTTTAAAGAAACTGTTTTCCAAAGTAGCTGTTTTTGTTTGTTTGTTTGTTTCTTTAGATGGAATCTCGCCCTGTTACCCAGGCCCAGGCGGGAGTGCAGTGGCACCATCTTGGCTCACTGCAACCTCCAGTTCCTGGATTCAAGCAATTCTCCTGCCTCAGCCTCCAGAGTAGCTGGGATTACAGCATGTGTTATCACACCTGGCTAAGTTTTGTGTTTTTAACAGAGATGGAGTTTCACCATATTGGCCAGGCTGGCCTCGAACTCCTGACCTTAGGTAATCCACCTGCCTCAGCCTCCCAAGTAGCTAGAACTACAGACACATGCCACCAGACCCAGTTAATTTCTAAATATTTTCCGTAGAGATGAAGTCTCACGCCATTGTCCAGACTGGTCTCGAACTCCTGAGTTCAAGCAATCCTCCCACCTCAGCCTCCCAAACTGCTGGGATTACAAGCATGAGCCATGGTATCCAGCTTGATTTTTTAATGACTAATGATATTGAGTTATCTGGTGTGACATTATTAAAAATCAGAGGAAAATGCTGAAAGAGTGTCTTGCTTGATGTAATATGATGGGGTCTGGTCATTAAGATTAAGTCAAGAGAGAGAACTAGCCAGTGGCCAATGTTCCTTGCTTCGTGTGCTACTTTATGCTGATAAACTCTTTTTAAAAACAAGATATCTTAAGCCAGAGTCAAAGAGCTTAACAATTACTTAGCTAAATTCAAGAAAAACCTACTTTTTCATAGCCACAGTGAAAGCAGATGGATAAGAAGTTTATCCTTCACAATTAGCGCTGATTGTTCCATGCTCTGTGAATTCTTAGCCTTTCAAAGCTCTGTAAGACTTTTATAAATCCCACAGGCCTCCCAGAGGCTTAACTAGCTTTTTGTTACCCTTCCTTTCAAGAATTACACTAATCATTAATTAGTAAGTGATATGATTCTACAATATTAAAGTTTTACAGAAAGTAATTTTGAGGCATTTGGTGCATTATGGGGGAACAAAACCAGACATTAGGATTGTGCTAGACCATAGCATTAGGTATTTACACATTTGTGTTCATCTATCAGCCAACTTAATTATTTCTCTAACTGAACTAGAAATGTCTCTCATTTTCTTTAGTCGGTATAGAGGAACCAGTGTTCCTCTTAACCAGTGTTAAGCTCCCTTATGTTGTAGTATGGTTAGCTAATGACTTTTCTTTGCAAGTTCACAGTTCACAAAATAGACCCTATGGTACAACTTGACCTTGGCAGCTTCAGCCTGCCTTTTAGTTAAGGACATTTAATGTTACCCTAATTTGCTAGCATGTACCTTCTTGCTTCCCTGCCCAGTCTTAGAACTATAACTGATTTGGGCAATTTGTTGATAAAACTAAATATCTTTGTGATTACCAACAAATTCCATCTTTAGGTATTAGGTCCTTAAATGTTGTACCAACCCTGATGGAAACACCTGTATTTCCTGTAATTCCAGGTTACGGGTATTTAGTTTTTAAAAGCAAATTATCAAGAAAGCAAGTGTAGGCTTGCAGAATCAGAGAAGCTCAAGTTTAGAAGTATACCTCCATGTCTTCTATTCTAATCATTTAGTCCACCTACTGGGTGTCTGCCATAGTACAACTGTCAGCCTTATCTGTGACTCTGTTTTCCTTTAATAGATTGTGGCTACTTTGAGCTCCCACATGCCTGTCATTTGAAATGAAGGTTCATGAACACAAAACACAATGTTGGAAGGTGAAGGCAAGCCATTCTCCATGTTTTCTGAGCATAGTGGTCTTAAATTGTATGTACACAGAGGAGGAGAATTTAGATTAAATGTGAAAACATAACTAGAAGCAGCCAAGATGTATGCATTGTTGACCAGTTTATGTGTCTTCATGCAGCAGTCCCCAACTTTGTTGGCACCAGGAACCAGTTTCAGGGAAGACAATGGAAACATGGAAACAGGGAAGGCAGGTGGGCAGGGGCAGGGGTGATGGTTTCAGGATGATTCAAGTGTATTACATTTATTGTGCACTTTATTTCTATTATTAATACACTGTAATAGATAATAAAATAATTATACAACTCACCATAATGTAGAATCAGGGAGAGCCCTGAGCTTGTTCTCCTGCAACTAGAGGGTCACATCTGGGGGTGATGGGAGACAGTGACAGATCATCAGGCATTAGATTCTCATAAGGAGCATGCAGCCTAGATCCTTTGCATGCACAGTTCACAATAGGGTTTGCGCTCCTATGAGAAGCTAATGCTGCCACTTGTCTGACAGGAGGAGAAGCTCAGATGGTAATACCAATGAAGGGGAGTGGCCATAACTGCAGATGAATCTTTGCTGGCTCCCCACTGCACACCCCCTGCTGTGCAGCCTGGCTCCTAACAGACCACAGACTGCTACCGTCTTTATAAATATTTTTCTGAAAATAGGGCCCAGTGCTTCCATCAGATTTTTCAGCATCTCAAAAATATAAGGTATCATTGTCTTAAAGAGAGATGTGTTAACCGTCAAGATAGATTAGAGAGCAAATCTCTTTCCTGACAGATTTTTAAGAATAAGTCATTCAATGGTCTACATATTAGATAAAAGTTATTCTAGCAATGTTAAATTCCTTTTTTTTCTAATCAGCTGACTTTAAGAAAATGTCATTTTTTTTTGGTACGATCGTAATATTGTGGTTATGTAAGAGAACATTTTTATCCATAGGATACTCATGTGGAAATATTTAGGATATACTGTTATGATATTTTAATTTTACTCTCAACATTCCAGCAAATAAGTATATGTAGGTATATCAGTATAGAGAGACTGAGATAAAGCAAATGTTAGGAAATGTGGCAAAATACTAACAATTGATGAATCTAGGAGAGGGCAGGTGGGTATTGATTGTGCCATTTTAACTTTCTTGTGGTTTTTAAAAATTCTTTAAAAGAATGTTTAATTCTTTTATTCTTTGTTAACAAAGGAATAAGACAGTTCATTTATCTGTCTTTTTATGCATGCTCTCCCCCATTTATCTGCCTTAACTTCATAATTATAAATAAAGAAGGCAGTTCTACTATCATATTTTGTAAATGGCTAAAACCAGGCACACACACACAAAAAAGAAAATCACCCAGGAGCATCCCAAATTACATTTGAGCTATAACCAAGGACAGAACTGAAAATAATGCTTCACCTTTTCCCTATTTTCTCCCCACGTAACTCCTGCCCATCTCATAGGCAGACACATGGTTTGTTCATATAAGCCTACTAAACTCACTATGGTATCCATCATAGCTCTGCCTTTTAAGTTCACAGGCAAAATCAATTGCAGCCACCTCCTAGTCGATGTTATGCTTGAACAGTAAAGTGCACGCAGTAACAGATGGCATCTTGTGACCTTCTTAATAACAGGCTTGGCTGCCAATGTTCCCTTGTGCCCAGTCTCTGCAGGGAATTTGGAAACTGTTGCCTTACACTTGAATATTTTCCGGCAAACACATTTAACCATTTCTTAGTCTGTTTTCTAATTTAAAATAGAGAGAGCAAAATAAAACAAGATTCCCACCACCTGAAGGGGACATTGATATTTTCTGAGTCCAGAGGCCCATCCTGCAATTCTCTGGGTGTGCTAGCAGTCACACAGCATAGCTGTCATGTTTAGTGTGGTGAGGACCTCAATTCCAGGCAAAGTGTTTCTCACTCTACCTAGAAGTATTGGTGGCCAATGTGATATTTTCTTCTCCCTGTAGTTTAAAAGAAATGTGTGTACTCTTCACAGCAAGGCATACAAATTAGCCGGAAAACAATCTAAATCATGAAGTTAAAAGTTCCCTCTTCTGTGACAGCTCACACCATGGTGACTGAGGCTTGTTGTAGGTCATCTTCTTGCCTTCATTGTACACGTTGGGCAGCTGTGACTATCAAGTTCCACCGGGAAGTGGGAAGAAGGGTGAGGGCGGGGATTACGTGAGGGAGCAGCCTGCCTGTCTGACCCCTGACCCCTCCACTGTCCCACAGGGGCATCTTTCCTTTGCTGAAAGTGGGAAGCAAATAGGGTGGCCCTAGGGGAAAACAGTGAAGACATCACACCAAAGCCTTTTGAGCCCTTCTCTCCCCTCAGCAGAAAGACCTTAAGACCTTGTACCAGGAAGGAAGTGCTAAAATCAGTCTCTGTTAGTGGGGAGATGGGTGGAGGAAGGGCAAGAAGAACACGCCCGGGGATCTGTGGGGGCAGTAAAAAGTGCAGCACCTCAGCTAGCAACGGCTCAGCCGGGAGTGGAATATTGTGTGGAGTCACTCACAGAAGGAAATAGGTGAGACCTAGGGCTCCTTTGGGGGGTATAGGTGGGTGGGTTTCACTGCTGGGTATCTCCCTGTGTAGCTGAGAAGTGAGAAGGGAAAGTCTTCTCATTGGCCCGATTTCTGGGCTTCAGAACAGAAGAGGCCTTGGAGCGGGAAGTTCCCTCTGCTGGGAAAAGCTGGCCTGGGTGTGAGGAAGCCGTGGCTGGGGAGCTTGAGTCTCTCCCAGGAGAGCTGGGGGAGGTGCCCATTGCTCCTTTATGCTCGCATCCCAGGGCCAGCGTAGAGTCCCTTTCACAGACAGACCAGAACACCCATGGAAAAAGCCTCCCTCTATTCAGGAATGCCCTAACCCACCTGCTTCCACCTTAATTCTGGGACCCCAACCTCCAAGATCAATAAGCTTTGGAAATGATCCAGCCACAGCGCAAGGGGGCACACCTCTGAGGCATGATCAAACCAACCAAGCTTGGAAGCAGGAAGGTCTAGCACGAATGTGACCCTGCCTGTCTTTCCAGTCTCATTTCACACCTTCTCCCACCTTTGCTCACTCTGTTCCAGTTATATTGGAACAGTGCTAGGAAATGGAAGGTCCTTTCCCAGTCTCAGGTCCCAACTCCTCCTCCAGGCACCAGCCGGTCACCTGCCCTGTCTCCTTTATTCCTCTCCCCCAAATCCCATGTGCCATCCCTTATTTATATTCCCCGTGAGTAAGTTTCAGATGTGGGGTTTGCCTGTCTGTATCTCCTTTAATGCATCGTGGAACCTGGGTAGGGGATGGAGAAGTGAATGTAATTAAAATCCTGTTTGTGTGCAACAGTGCCATGCACTAGTTATTCACTATTTTTTAAGTATTGCAATTCCAGGGGCTCCTACATAGGATCCTAAAGGAACGGTTTTTCAAAAGTTGCTTCTATATACTGCCTTCTAATTTTTAAAAGTCATTTATAAGTTTCCTTTTGGAAGGCAAATTATAAATAAAGAACTGCCCCTATAAGGAATTATGTTGTGGGAAGGAAAAGCCAACCCTCGTTCAGCAAACAGTGACAAAAAATCTGGTTTGTGTGCCGAGCTGTGCCGGGTGCTGGGGATCCAAAGACAAGACAGACAACTTCCTGCCCTCATAAAGCTTATGTTCTAGTAGGAGAAAGAGATAATAAGCAAGTAAACAAATACCATAATGCATAGAAAGCAAAGTGGCATCGAGATAGAGATGAAGAGGGTGAGAATGTGAAGAACTTACTTTAAACATGGTAACCAGGAAAGGCCTCTCTGAAGAGGTGACATTTAAATTCAGACTTGAAGGACCTGAAGGATACAGCTCAGCAGAACTGGGATAATTGTGGACGCAGTGACTCATGCCTGTAATCCCAGCACTTTGGGAGTCCAATACAGGCGGACCATGAGGTCAGCACTTTGAGACCAGCCTGATCAACATGGTGAAACCCCATCTCTACTAAAAAATACAAAAATTAGTCGGGTGTAATGGCATGCCCCTGTAATCCCAGCTACTCAGGAGGCTGAGGCAGAATTGCTTGAACCTGGGAGGAGGAGGTTGCAGTGAGCCGAGATCACGCCGCTGCACTCCAGCCTGGGCAACAGAGCGAGACTCTGTCACAAAAAAAAAAAAAAAAAAAAAGAACTGGGATAATTGTGTTCCAGCAAAGACTACAGCACACGTAAAGGTCCTGAGGTGGGAAATAGCTTAGCATTTTCAAGTTGCTAAACGAATACAGTATAACTGGAACAGCGTGAGCAAAGGTGGGAGAAGGTGTGAAATGAGACTGGAAAGATGGGCAGGGTGACATTCGTGCAAGACCGTCTAGGCTGTGGTAAAGAATTAGGATTTTGTTGTAAGTGCAACAGGAAACAGAAGTGAGATTATTTTGTTTTTGCTTTAAGATGTCCCTCTTTAGAGAATAGATTGGGTTGGCAAGACATGACTTACGGGGTAGTCCAGTGAGTTCTTACTGCTTTTTGAAGTCTTTCAGGGCTTGGAAAGGCTTTACAGAAGAATGCAAGTAGAGTTGAAAGCACAGGTGAGAAAGCATGTTAAAAATAGACACAAATACTCTTGAAATTACATTACAACTCATATGTATTTGGCCCTCTTAGAATATTATTTGGTTCATTTCAATATTATCCTAGGCACTGCCATCCTTATTAAATGTCATATCCCATAAAAGCAGTTCCAAGTAGCTGATTTGGAGACTTGAAGTTTGCTGTCTGTGGTTAGAAAATATCCCAAGGACATCTTACGCATGTTTTCACAACTGGGCTTACAACATAACACCTCCTCCTAGTGCATATTACATCTCCTGGAACAGTAAGAATAAAAGAGACCAGTGCACTCTTTTGCAAGGTTCAGCTGGGTTCTCCCTAGAGCAGTACAGATGTGGGACACAGATATGGAGCTGAGGACAGAGAAAGGAAAGGGAAAGCCAGTAAATGTTGGCCCAGCTGTGTCATGGTTTTCATTCTACATGCTCTTCATAAAGATGATTCTGCTGGAGAGAAGTTTAATAAGACAAAACATGTTAGAACCTGTCAGCATAGCATAATGGAGAGAAAGTTGAACTAAAATTTTGTTGTATTGCAGCTTTATAAAACTGGATTTTTATTAGCTATTGCTTTGTTCTACTTTGAATATAAGAGCTGAGCATACGATATAGAAGGGAACCAGGTCAGAAAAGCCACAACCAAATCAAATCCTTGGAAAGAAAATTAATATTAATGCAAAAAGAAAGCACCTTAATGTAGGCAGAAATACAACTGAAATCTTTGAAAGGCAGATGCAAAAAAGAATTTGAGAACTTTTCTCCTATGATGATCATGAATCACACTTAAGAACTGCCCATGCAATTTTTCTATTTATGAACAGACATTGCAAAGGAGCAACCAGTAGACCTAAGTCCACATGCAACAAGCAAATTTGTGTAGTTGGCTGGCATTGACAATTTGATCCTTGGCTTCAAGCAAAATTAATATTGATAATCTAAAATTTGACATGGAAATGGAGAAAAAGCACAAGAAGAAATTATCATTTGGGTAAACAGCTCTGCCTTGATGTACTGTTACCTCTTAATGAAGAGACGCAGCATCAGTTATATGAAAATGACCACTTGAGAAGAATGAAAAAGGCAATATGGGTAAATTGATAAGCAGTCATTATGAGTATATTCACTGATGCCATTTCTACCTTTCCTCCTACCAGTGCTTTACTATAATAACTAGAGAGGAGATAGGAATGCAAAGTAATACCTGCTGTAGAGTAGTAGATTATTGTTTTTGCTGCTCATGTTACCAGCCCTCAAATACTCCCACCCACCCAACTGCGGGACTGCTCAGCAGATCTAGCAGGCCACAGGTGATTAGCAAAGTTGATCAGAATTCATCAGAATTCTGAAGAGCACAAAAAACAATATGAATGTAATAGAATTGCATTTTGTGCTACTCAGATCAGATGCACTGTCACCTTAGCTTACTATGAATGACATGATCAAGCCGTTTAATTTCCCAAACACGGGCTCAGACTTGTCTTCAGGCTACATAGCATGTTTCAATTTTATGTTCTTTACTGCAAAGGCAGGAAAGAAAGTGTTTCCTGATTTTAACAATAGCACACATGGTCCGGTGCCCTCTCCTCCTGCCTCAACAAACCACAGAGGAACAGATAAAACCCTCCTCAGATGTACTATGCTCACAAAGTCAAATTTTACTAAGAAAGCCAACAGGGCCGGGCGCGGTGGCTCAAGCCTGTAATCCCAGCACTTTGGGAGG